TGTGCATCATTCAGGGACGTTTGTTGGGCTGTGGGTCCCAGGACAGAATAGAGCAGATGTTGCGCCCTTTCTCTCTCTCTCTCTCTTTTTTGAGACAGAGTCTCACTCTGTTGCCCAGGCTGGAGTGCAGTAGGGCAGTCTTGGCTCACCGCAACCTCCGCCTCCCGGGTTCAAGCGATTCTCCTGCCTCGGCCTCCTGAGAAGCTGGGATTACAGGCATGTGCCACCACACCTGGCTAATTTTTAGTAGAGATGGGATTTCACCATGTTGGCCAGGCTAGTCTTGAACTCCTGCCCTCAGGTGATCCATACTCCTTGGCCTCCCAAAGTGCTGGGAAACAGACATGAGTCCCCATGCCCAGCCAGATATTGCACCCTTTCAAAAGTGCTAGTAAATGATTTTCCCAGGGAAAGCTCTTTGCCCCTTAAGAAAGAGATTTGGTCATGGTCTGGGCAAGGGACAGGGGATGCTGCCATGGTAGGCTCCAAGAGTGCGGCCAGCTGGGCTGGGCCTGGCCTGGGGTGACGGGCCGGCTGCCGCTTGCTCCTGCTGCAGGAGATCATCTTGAAGCGAGCGGCGGACATCGCCGAGGCGCTGTACAGCGTTCCCCGCAATCACAACCAGATACCCACCCTGGGCAACACCCCTGCGCACACGGGCATGATGGGCGTCAACTCCTTCAGCAGCCAGCTAGCCGTCAACGTGTCGGAGACGTCACAAGCCAATGACCAAGGTAGGCCAATGTGCCAGGCGGACCCCTGCCCTGAGTGCCCTCGGCGGGTTGGGTGAGGCCTTAGCTGCAGAGGCGTGTATCCAGGGCCGGCTGGGGAGTGGCTCTCTGGCTCTGCTGGTTCCTTCGCTCAGGAAGACCTTGCTGCAGGTCCTCCCAGGCAGTGCTGGGCCAAGAATGCTCAGAGGGCCCAGTTACTAAAAACGGCAGCTCACTGGCTGCCAGACGGGTCACTGGTATTCGCTAGAAGTTTCCCTCAATGTGTTCAGAAGTGACTTTCTTTCCTTGGAAGACTGGGCTAAGCCATAGGATAGCCACAGCCAGGGAGCCAAGGGGAGCCTGTGTGGATGTGCTGCCCGCTGGGATTCGGGTCTAAGTTTGGAACAAAAACTTGGAGAGAGACGCCCATTTCCCCGCTCTGCACCTTGTCCCACAGTACAGCGACCTGGGCTGGCCAAGGTTGCTGCCTCTTGCCGTCTGGGTCCATTTTTGTTTTCCTGGTTGAGAAGTGCGCAGGCAGCGAGCTTAGAAAATGCCTCCACTGTGCTGCTGATCTCGCTCCCATCCTTCCACGCTCCCACGGTGGGAATGAAGTTCCCATGCCCCCGACTGCCCCCACATATAGAAATAGCAACCATACAAACGAAGACCCCCAAACAGCCTTCCAGGGGAAGTTACGGCCACAAACAAGCTCTCCTTGTCAGCCATGGCATTTGAAGGTCTACAGAGGCCGCAAGTTCACAGAGTGTGGGGGGACAGACCAGGAATCCGAGCTGTTGATAATTGCCTCTAAAGAGAAACGTGAAAGCCACTGACGGTGAGATCGAAGCGTGCCCCGGCTGGCTGTCGAAGCCAGCAGAGACAGGACGGGGCTCTCGGTGAGACAGTGGCAGCAGGGTTGGCGTGATAAGGTCATCCAAGCTGGCAGCAGGCGCTAGAGCGGTAGAAAGCGCAGGGTCAATTAGCAATGTGGAATATATGACATAGATTCTCGGGGAACCCCCCCCCAAGTGTCTGTCGCTGATAATAACGTTATTTTTGGCCGGGGGGGGATTTCAACAGTCGGCTACAGTCGCAATACAAGCAGCGTGTCCCCGCGAGGCTACGTCCCCAGCAGTACTCCCCAGCAGTCCAATTACAACACAGTCAGCACTAGCATGAATGGATATGGAAGTGGCGCCATGGCCAATCTAGGGGTCCCTGGCTCGCCTGGATTTCTTAATGGCTCCTCCGCTAACTCTCCCTACGGCAGTAAGTGTCTGTTTTTGTCACACGTCATCACGCAGATTCATATTCACTACCGAGTCGAGTGTGTGCATTGCTTGGATGTTCTGTGGTGTGAGCTACTGGATAAAAGGAAGGGTGGCCCTGGAGGCTGGGCGTCAGAATGGCGACCGTAAATTGACCCAAAACGGGCCTGATGTGATCTCATTGGAAACCAAAAAAAAAATCGGAACAAAATGGGCTGCTCAATTGGAAGAGAAAGTCCAGTGCACAAGAGCTTGCCTGTTATCCAGAGTGTGGCCGAGCCAGACGCATGTCATGTTGTGTTCTCCTGCCCCCGCCCCACCCCGTCTGAGGCGAGGCCTTGGTGCCCTCTCGCCGTGGCGCTGTGCCGCGGCCGCGCGTGCTGACCGTGTTTGCTTTGTTGCAGTAGTGCCGTCCAGCCCCACCATGGCAGCCTCTTCGGTCACCCTCCCTTCAAACTGTAGCAGCACACACGGCATTTTCTCATTCTCACCTGCCAATGTCATCTCCGCAGTGAAACAGAAGAGCGCCTTCGCGCCCGTGGTCCGGCCCCAAGCCTCTCCTCCTCCTTCCTGCACCAGCGCCAACGGGAACGGACTGCAAGGTGAGGGTGGGGCGGGGCCGGGTGCCAGTGCCGGGTCCTCTCTAGGGGTGCGGATGGGAGCGGGGGGGCGGGCTCGGCCTTTCTCCTGGCACCTCCGTGACCGCTGCATGTTCTCCCGTGGCCCATTGTGATATGTGCCACCTCTGCCTGGTGTTCAGAGCGAGGACCCCTGTGCACTGAGCCCCAGCAAGGACCAGATTCCACCTCTTGGTTTTTGACCAGCTCACCCCTCCGATGGCACCTAGTGTCCTCACGGTGGAGCACCCTGTGCCCCTAAGAGGGTGGGACCACGTGAGAGAAGGCAGGATTGTGGTGAAGGTAGCTGTGGTCATTGTTTGCCTGGTTCAGCCAGTGGGCCTTTGCCTGGAGCCTGCCACTTCCTAGTGTAGGGTGCAGCCTTGCCCGCCGCTCCTGCGCTTCCAGCCTCCTATGCACAAAGCAGCAAATACAGCCCCGGCATGGGGATGGCGGGGCACCATGCCGCTGTGGAGCCTGCCCTCATGGCCCTGAGGTGGGGCCTTGGTTCTCCACGTTGTCTGCTGGACCACGCATCCAGCAAGGCTGTGCTGTCTTTTGGAAAGGTGTGTGCGTCTAGACCCAGGGCAAGGTGTGTCCCAGCACCAGGTTGCAGTCCTGTCTGTGGACAGGAGCTGATTTTCCTAAGTGATCTCTTTCAAAGATTCAGGAGGGAGAATGGCCTGCCCTGAGGGCACCGCTGTCCACAGATGAGGCCACATGGAGTGGGCATCCTGTGCCGCCCGGCGCCTAGCCCATTTGGGCTGTACAGGCTGCATGTGGCCCATGATGTGTGGGACAGGCAGAGCCACACAGGTGCCCCCAGGCCTCCTGAGCTCTTGAGTGGCCCTTTGTGAGGTGCTGAGGCCCGCAGGCACTTGAATTAAGTGGCCGTAACCTGGCCTCTTTCAGACACGACCTTTGGTATATGCTCCTCCCAGTGACTCAAATCCAGTTACTCCTTTAGAAACATGAACCCATTCAACCAGTATTTACTGAGCACCTACTATGTACCAGGCTCTCTGCTGGGTGCTGAGGACGTAGCTGCGGAGAAGACAAACTGGCCCTTTTGTGAAGTCGGTGGCATATTTCACTTTGATGAACTAATGCTCAAAAAAGGAACTGGAAAGGTATCAGTGATTTGAAATCATTGTCTTCACAACATTCGTTAGTGTATGAAGGGACGCCCAGGTCCCCGGAGTGCTGCCAACTGGCCTGAGTGCCATCAGCGGGCACCGCACCAGGGTCGCTGCAGAGGCAGGTGGTGAGGTGCCGCAGCCTTGCCCGCGACACGGGGTCGGGCTGGCTGAAAGACGGCACCTCCTATGCGGTGTGTACATGCACAGGGCTTCCAAACCATAAAGTTGTAACGGTGAGTCGGAGACAAATTAATATTGTTGAAATTAATGAACTGAGAAATTGAAGCTCACGTCACTACATGAACAAATGTATTAATATCTTATACATAAATTAATGAGAATGATCATTCTGACAAAAATTAAACAACACCCGTGGTAAAAGATTTTAAATTACATTCGTACCAGGAGTTCGCGTGAAAGCATCAGCCCCACTTGGCGTTTTCGTGCAAAGTTTTCTCCTCTTTACTGAGAAGAGAAAAAAGGTCCCGCCAGCAGTGCCATGACTCATGTCTCTCCGTGGCCCTTGCCTGGAGGTTCCAGGGCAGGTGGGCTGTGAGTGGCTTTGATTCCGGAGAGCCCTGACTCACCATTACGATACAGAGAGATGACCGCACGGCCAGAGCCCAGACCTGGAAGCAAGGGGGAACTGAGGCCTGTCTGGTTCTCATGTAGGGAGTGAGAGCGGGGCCTGTGAGCCGGCCTTGGCTGGTGTCACGGGAGTGATCAGGCTGGGCCACCTCTCTAGACAGAGTGGGGTCTGGGCCTCCGTTGGCTTTGCACCCTGCGCTTATCAGTGCGGGAAGCTGCAGCCTTTGCCGCTGTACCAGAAGCCCCTCCCTTTTCTAGAAGAAGCCTCTCAGGAGGGCTGCAGGAGGGACAGCACTGGGGGATTTTTGTCCCCAGGTGCGCCCCCCCTTGCCCCTACCAGGAAACAGATTCCCCAGCACGCCCTAAACACGCCTGAGGCTGGTGAATGGAATCCTCCGAGTCCAGCCTCCCAGTTGCATAGTGGGGAAGGGCAGCCCCACCCGCGTTGGCATGGCGGGAGGGCGCGTGCCGGGGGCCTGCAGTGACTGCTCTGTCCTTCTCTCTTGCAGCTATGTCTGGGTTGGTAGTCCCGCCAATGTGAGGGACTTTTGTTTACCTTCCACAGCACCCAGCATCAAAGGACGGACTTCAGGGGACACGTTTAGTATATTAAGACATGCTGATGGAAACAGTATCTTCAAAAAAATCAGCAGCAATTGAAATGCTACAAAAGACTTTGTTTAAAGATTTTATTTAAACTATTAAGAATCAACATTCAAACAGCCTACTTCTTCATGAACAATTCCATTTTATTGACTGAACTTTTCTCATATTTTCACATTTCTCAGTCCTGAAGAATAAGGAAAACAAAGCGACACCTATTTTGTATAAAGTTTCTGACTCCGTCTTGGCCATGTCTAGTAATTGCTATGTGTTGGGAGAAACTTTGTGAATGCACCATTTTGATGATCATGAAACACTGATGAAAAATGCCTCCAAACATTTTTCTGTACTCATACTTAGATTCACAATGGTTGTGTATCTCTATAATGTGAAATATTTTTTTGTGGTGATAAAAGGGGGCCAAGGAGGTATGAGCCATCAGACTGGAAAAAAGGATGACAATATGATTAGGAGAACTGGGGTGGCAGGGGGGGGGAGGGTTTATCATTGCTTAACTTCATCTTAATGAAATGAAACTTTGTAACTTATTGTAGTTAGAAATTGTAACTTTGATATTGAATTCTCTTGCCTTCAACAAGCACACTGACAGAGAAAAAATGCTACTGTCTGTTGGTTCCAATATTCTCCCACTGCTAGAGCTTCCTGTTAAGCAAATGTGAGCTGCACCATTTTTTCAACTTTTGCTAGCACTGTATACTATTGCATTCTTAGGCTACTGTGCGGTCTATGTTTCTTGTACCAGAAATTGTCCTTTTGACTTCTAGATCCTTCTTCCCTAATGTGTTTTGTATGTGGTTATAAAATTGTAGACTTTTGTGATTTTGCCAAAGTTGTAGCTAAATATTTATACACTTGTCTTGAATTTTTTTCAGATCCACTTAAAATATTTAGAAACACAAGTTTTATTCCTTATGTGTCGTATAAGGAATAAAATGGTCTTCATTTGACACTTTCCCACGAACACTTGCAGTTGGTAAGGGACTTTATTTTGTAACATATCAATTATAAATATTGTATTTATCTTTGAAATTTTGTACATTGCTTTTCCCGCCTTTTCCTTTTTCTTCTTTCTTGTCTCTGTTGGTTTCTGATCATGGCCTGGCGTTGTGATACTGGGACGAGCATTAGCCAAGAACTTGTCTCTTTGATCCATTTCGTTAAGATGAACCAGTGTCTTTACTTTTCATTTGTACTTCAAAAATATGCTATTGTTTAGACTTTCCATCCTTTTTTTTTATTTTGAGGAAAAGTCAAATTCATTGTTTATTTTTATATTATTTTTAAGTTATCTGAACAAATACTTTTGAAAAAAAGTTTGTTGTATAGTCAAAACGGTGCCACCCGGCCGTGACAAATCCTAGTAGATTCTGTGCATGTGGAGCGGCCGCGAAGAGGCGACACCATTTGGGGCTGTGTCCTTATTTTATTATTTTTTTGTAGAATGTAAAAAGTCATTTTAGATGCCACCCATGACTTTGCCACATAGCTGAACTGTGTTTACTGGAAAAATTCAGAGGCCTAAAGTTTAAAATAAAATTTACTTCTGATGTTTTAATTAAAATGTTTGCCACATTAACTTCTCTGATGCCTTAAAAGTGGACTTCTTTAAAGAACCTTTGTGCTATTTTATCACAGGCTTACACTACAATTGTTAATAAATATTTCATTTGGAGACGTATGGTGTCTCACACACACACACACACACAAACACACAGACAAAAGCACAAGCCCGCTGCATGACCTGTCTCTCCTTTCTGGGAGTATTTCTGCTGCGTCCTGCCCCTCCTGGGCCTACCTCCGATTCAGGGAGGTTTCAGGAGGACCCCAAATCACTGCTGGTTTTTAATTCTTTTTTTTAACAATACCTTTTTGTGGTCAGTTCCAACAGCACTGTCTGTACTTTTAAAACTGGAATGGCCTCCTTCAGATATTGTGCCTCTTACTGCCAAACCCACAGTGAGACCAAAAGTGTCAGTTTTTTTTTCTTTCTCCTTTGCACTAAATGCTTTGCAGACACGGCACAGCAAACATTTTGCAAACTGCAGCAGAAATCGAATTTAAAACAAAAAGGAGGGACTTTGAAATAATACCTTCTTGACAAAAAATCAACAATGCACAACTTAGAAAGTGTTCATTCTAGGGACAAAATAAACAATGTCCCCAGGAGTCAGGAGGTCACAGTCCGGCTTTGTGATGGTTGACAAGGCCTAGCTACACGGGAAAGCCTGAGAAGTCACTTTGGAACTAAATTGCGTCTGTTTTATTTCGTATGAGTAAGGGTTTGATCTACAAAAGAGCTCACACGTATGCATTGAGAACACCCGCCCGCTTCCCCGTGCCTCACTTGGTTTGTGTTTTAGGTTAAGTAGTCAACGCCCACATCACTTCACTGTCTCAAGACTGAACGCTTCACTAAATGGTAGATTTTACTGTTAAAGACCCTACAATAAAATTGTTTTATCTGTACATTTTTTCAGATATTTAACTGTATAAAAATGTTCATTTTACACAATATTTAATTAAAGTATTTCTTGTCTGTGAATTTCACTTCTGGTGATGTTCTCTGTTTTGATTATTAAAATGATGGACTAAACACACATGAAACTTACATTGGGGTTTCATTTGCATGTCTGGGTTCCAAAGCTGCAACTTGGCCAAGATGAAAATGATCCATCCGTGGAAGAACTTTCCACAAAGTTACCCACCCTCCGCTCTCTAACCTGCGTAGAGACGTTCAGCAAATTGTCACTTATGCGGTCCTGACCCCCCGAGGTACCACCTGTACACGTGCTGCACTCCGGATGATTTTTGTGTGTCACAGAGGCTCTGTGGGCCACAGTAGCACTGGGGTGACACAATCACTGTTGGGGTACTTGTCTTTGAGAACTCAGACAATCCCAAGGCTCACTGAGGGGCTTTGTAACACACTCCCTCCAGACCTGCCCCAGGCCCTCTGCTTCTGAATAGCATACTGGCAGGTAGGGAACAAGTGCTCCAGTGACCCCACACACACATTCCTTTTGGCTCCACGGTTGGGTTCCACTGGGCAAGAACCAGGCTTAGGAGAGTGACTGCAACAGCAAAGGCTCTGGAAGGGTGGGCAGACACCAGGGCACCCAGACGCATGTGCTAGCTAGGGTCTACACAGGGGCATGACCAATTTCACTGCCACCACAGTGGCACAGTGGCCCCCATGCACTAGCCGCGGGCATTGCTGTCTGCTCATTGGTAGCCAAATGCACCAACTATAATGAGACCTGCCATCAACACTGAGGTTCTAATTTGCACAACGATGTTCAGCTCCTTCGAGTTTCCCATGCTCCCATTTTACTCCGTATTTTTTCATTTTCTCCTCCATGAAAGGCTGCGTTTGCATGTTTTGGCTTGCAGCTTTATCACACATACACATAAGTGTGATCCAAATTAGTACTCACAAATGTCATCTTAATTACTTGTTCTGCTGAGCAAAACAGGAAACAATTATTCAAAACATAAAGAAACTTGTGAATACCTTTTTCTCCTGTCACTGACAATCAGGTTCTCATTTCAACCTTAAAGAGACAGCAAAGAGCGAGGCTTATAAGGTACAAGCCTGAAGTCTGCCCACTCCCCTCCCCTGCAGGCTCCCTCCCAAGTGGCTGGAGGCTGGGGCTGGGGCAAGCAGTTGCTGGGCAAGTCACCTCCTTCCCACTCTGCGCTGGTGCCGCAAGTACCCAACACCCTGTAACTTGGGGATGGAGAAATTATTTTCTGTTTGTGTTTCAAATCAGAAGCAAGAACTGCATTCTTCCAAAATGCATGCCAATTATTGTCAGGCTGCCTTTTAAGGTCTTTCAAGCTTTTAAAGATTATTCAAAGCACTTGAAATGGGCTTCAATCTAATGCCTCATTTCATTGCATTAAACAGCCTAGTTAATAAAGAATCAATATATTCAAAGGGCAAGGTTATCTTTTGTCTATAAGGGGTGGTGTCATTCTGAACCTTTTATAGTTCAAATGCTGAAAAAGACCTCATGAAATCCATACTCATCAAGTGGGTCAACGAGAGCGGTAAAGAGGCCCCTGAAAGGGAAGAAAGGCTGCTCTCCTCTAAAACAACCCACGCCTTATCTCGCTCACTCGGTGCACCCAAAGAAGTCCTCAGAAATGTCAATTTCTCATCAAGACAAGAGGCCATGATGATCATTTTTTCCAGAGAATACATACAATTAAGAGAATGCAGAGAGGCGGCAGCGACAGTGATTTGTGGCTTATTCCGGCCCCACGAGCCGCGATCTCCCTCCCAGCAGATAAAAAGGGTTGTTGATAACTGAAGTGTCAATATGCCGAAGAGTGATTTTTGAATGTGAGTCCTTGTGCTTTGAGCTCGCCAGGCTGATCCCAGGCCCTGATAACGGCGCAGCTGCCAACGGACACCACAGGTTGGCCCTCACAATTAATGCCATGAATAAATCACACAAAAGAGTTGGGATGCTTTATACTTGGTGAGACAATCCCCTGCTTTACCCTTCAAGGATTCCTTTTATGTTGGAATAAGGTTGCTTTTAATGAAATTTAAACTCATCAGAGGAAATCAAAAACCTCCAATCAGATTACAAATTGATTTTTTGGTCATTTGTCATGTCCCAGCATAGAGCCGCAGGTTTCACAGGGAGTGAGTTGCCGCCGTGGCAGGGCTGGGAGTGAGCATGGACGTAGCTCCCGCTCCCACCCCTGGCCTAGGGACAACCCGTGGCTGGGCTCTTTGGCAGGCAGAGGCAGCCCTGGTGACTCCACCTGTCCTGCCAAGTACGGCCAACTGAACCTGTGACAAGAACAAGTGCCAATCAGGGTGAATCCAGTGGCAGCTTTATAACCTGGGACATCATCCTTGGCAAAACTCACAGTGACTTCTAGGTCTGCACTCACAGATCCATGGATGGCCACAGAGACACATTTTCCGGGGGAGTGCCGTCAGTTTTGGTGAGTCTCCATCCCATCCCTTCCCACCCCAGTTGGCTCTACGCCACCCCACGGACAGCTGCACACAGGACCCAGAAGCATGCAGGCCACCCGGTCCCCATGTGCCAAGAAAGACCTTGAGATCTGGGCAGAGAGAAGCCTGGCTAACTGCCACCCACCATCCAGTGGAAGCCCCAGTGCTCTCATCGGCAGAGCCGGCCCTGACCCCCAGGCCACTGCACAGTGGTGTCCCCTGCAGAGAAGACTTGAAAGCATCTGAGGCCGCCAGTCTCCAGCCTTCCAGTGGGTCTCCTGAGTGCCCTGGATGAACCTGCGCCTTCCTCGCCCCCTCACCCCTGCATCGGGCACCAGTCAAGGCTGAGTGGGGAAGCTGAGTGTCTCCTACTTAGTGGGAACCTAGGAGGGCATTTTGTCCCTCTTGGAAAGACTAGGGCTGGGGACAAAGTGAGGCAGGCACTGCTGCTTCAGGAGGAGGTGAACACTGTTTCTGATTCAAGATTCCTCAGAGACCATCTCTTAAATATAGCCGCTAAAGTGAGTCGAATACTCCACACATCTAACAACAATACTCACCTTTGCTGCCCTGTGATCTGCGGAGCGCTTTATCCACATCGTCTGTTCTGTCCTCCCACAAAGCTCTGTGCTGGGGCTGGCTCCCTACTTCCAGGTGGCGAAATTGCAGCTCAGAAAGTTTAGATGACAGGCCAGGGTCACCAGGCTGGAAGGACCAGGGCCTGATGCCAGGTGATGTCTCCAGTCTCCAAACCCTATACTCTTTCCATTGATTTAGGTTTCAGGTATCTTCAGTAAGAAAGACTGGCTGGGCATGGTGGCTCATGCTTGTAATCACAGCACTTTGGGAGGCTGAGGCAGGCAGATCACCTGAGATCAGGAGTTCAAGATGAGCCTGGCCAGCCTGGTGAAACCCTGCCTCTACTAAAAATACAAAACATTAGCCAGGTGTGGTGGCAGGTGACTGTAATCCCACTTACTCAGGAGGCTGAGGCAGGAAAATGGCTCAAACCTGGGAGGCAGAGGTTGCAGTGAGCTGAGATAGCGCCATTGCACATCAGCCTGGGCACCAAGAGCGAGACTCTGTCTCAAAAAAAAAAAAAAAAAAAAAAAAAAAGAAAGAGAGAGAGAGGGAGGGGCATCTGAATCTGAATGGAAGTGAGAAGAGAAGTCAACTTCCCTGAGAAGACCCTAACCAAGTCACCCACAATGTTTAGAGGGCCTGACTCAGCTGAGGCCACTTGTATAGGCCACAAGTGGAAACTGGCTTGCCTGGTGCAGCTCAGCTGGGTGTCTGGGGCTTTGCCTCTGAATGTCACACATCCACGCTTCCAAAATCGGAGGCAGAAGACCATTTCTCCCAGGGCCTTTGCAGCCACCAGGAGTCTTCAGAACTGCTGGCTCCCTGTGCTTTCCATGGTTTCTTGGCGTCCACATGGGGTCCACACATGGGGCTTGTACACGATGGTCCTTGTGCACACAAGGGGTCCCTTGGATCCACACAGCATCTCCAGTATGGGAAGGGTACACTGAGCCGATCCCATGGTGCAGGAGTGGGAGGGAGGTGAGGCAAGGATGGAGGCAGCCAGAGGCTTAGCCCTGCAGCTGGCACCTGGCAAGGGCTCAGTAAAAGCTTCCATGACTGCCAGCAGGGGGATGACGGGCTAAGGATGGAATGAAGAAGAGGAAAAATCAGAGCAATCAGGATTAGCAGGGTAGACTTGCAATGAGTAACAACAATGTCAGAAGTGTTGGCTGAAAAAGACACAAAGGGTCAGGAGGGAGCACAGGAGTCTGTCACCAACCTGCCCCATCAGACGACGCCCTCTCCCAATATTCCACATGGATGGTGGGCCACGGACAATGAGGGTCTTCGTGCAGCTTGCTCAGCCATCCAGGGTTAATTAACTAAGCCAAATATAAAACTTGTTTCTCCACCTGTAACAGGCCAGGTCCTTCACTGCCTTGTGCTGCTCTTGCGGGGCTGATGTAGGGAAGGTGCCACCAGGACAGAGAGAAAACACATCTCTAACAATCTGAACAAAGGGCTTACATTCTTAATATACAATGAGCTTTTGCAAATCAATAAGACTCAATGAACACCCTAAAGAAAAAAGAGGTAAATTTACAGTTCATTCACAGGGGAACAATAAAAGTGATGAATAAGCTTAGGAAATTATATTCAACCTCATTTAAAAATACATATCAAATTAAAATAATGAGATGAATTTGTTTGACCTATTAAATTAGAAAAGATTTTTCTTAAAAGCTAATACACGATGCTGTTGATGGAGGAAGGGGATTCTCACAGTTGTCGGCAGAAGAGTAAATTGGTGCAAGCCTTCTAGAAATCAGTCTGACATAACAAGAGACTTAAAAATATTCATATCCTTTTCACTGACTAATTCTACTCCAAAGAATCAATCTGAAGGAAATAATCAGATATTAGACAAGACTTTGAGGTCCAAGATTGTTAGCTATGGCAATATTTATCAAAAAATTGGAAAGAACCCAGATGACTCAAAATAGGAAATGGTCATTAAATTATGATATAGCCATTATAATGGAATATTATATATTCTATTAAGCCAGAAAAATCATGTTTTTGAAGTATATCTAATAAAATGGTCAACATCAAATGACATAAAATTAGGTAAAATAAGCATATAATACTGTTTATATAGAACATAATTTCAATTTGTAAATTTCTATATTGAGAGAAGACAAATAATATATAAAAATATACATCTATATGAAAAAAATACTGGTCAGAGTTACAGCAAAATTAACAGTAGGTATATCTGAGCGCTTAAAACTTACACAGTACATTCATATTTTCCAAGTTTTCTTCTGAACAGACAGGTGAGTTATGTGCTGGAGAACACTGCTCACTGTCTGACAGTCTCACCACTCTGCCCTCCTGCTTCAGGGAACAAGGTAGGGAAGACAACAAACTCAGAGCCATCAGATTGGGCTAGAACACTGAGGCCTGATGGAATGGGCGTTGGTGCACGGCTGCCTGGAATCTCGGCTGGGGCTGATGTAGTGCTAAGAGAGCAGACACCAGATCAGGAAGTGGGCAGGAAGGAGGAGAGGTACACAGAGGTGTGGAGATCTGGGCTGCATGGTCCAAAGGGGAGAGAGCCCAAGGGAGGGGTTCCCATGAAGCCCTGCTAAATTCCTTCTTCTGGCTTTCTCAGCATGCCTCTGGGGCCTGATACTATCTTCACTTCTATCTGAACTTCTTGGAGGAAGTTTCTGCTGCCTGCAACCAAACAACTACTGACCAGACAAATTAGGGGGAAAAATATCTTTAAATGATCTTTATAAGAGAACCAAAAATAACTTTACAAAGTATGAGGTTTAATAAATGCATTTGGCAAGATTAATGAATACAAGGCCAATATAAAACTGTATTTCTATGACAATAACAGTATTTTTACAACAGGAATTTTAAGAATACAATTTAAAAATTTTCAGTGCCATTTACAATAGCATTAGAAACATCAAATAGCTAGAAAGAAAGCTACCAAAGTTATGCAAGATGTCTACACAGGAAACCACAAAATCGTAGTGAGATAAAATTTTAAAATCGTAATAAACGAAGAAATATACCATATTCATGGATTGGAAAATTACCTGTTGAGATGATGTCAACTCTCCCTCCCTAAACTGACCTACAGATTTAGTGCTCAATCAAATTCCACAAGGTGCTTTTCTTAAAATTGATAAGCTGATCCTAAAATTTACATGGAAATGTAAATGATCCAGAGGAGCCAGGACAATCCTGAGAGAGAGAGAGAGAGAGAGAGAGAGAGAGAGAGAGAGAGAGAGAGGCTGGTGGATTCAAACCGCCCAAACCAAGACTTCTTATGAGGCTGTAATAACTAAGACATTTTGGTATTAGAACAAGAACAGACAAATAACCTAATGGCATAGGCAGTCCAGAAACAGACCTCCTATACATGGTCACCTGATCGACAACAAAGGTGGCACTGAAATGCAGTGGCAGAGGGTGGCCTTTCCAGTAAGTGGTGTTGAGGGTAGTGGAAACATATATGATAAAGACTGGATGACACCCTTCTCACACATGTGAAAGGACAAACCCAGATGGCTGGGAACCCTAAGGTATGATGATTCCCCAGCTCTGAAAAGGACAGGAATAAATAGTGTGTAGAGACAAAGAGAACAGCTGATGTTAAACCAAAGTTGAGGGAACACCCAAGACCTAGCAACAAGCTAAAGCTATGAGCATCCACTTGCCTGGGCAGGCTTGCAGGAGGGAGGACTTTTAAAGACAAGCACAAAACCCGGCCCAGTTCCCCTCAGCTGACTCCTTAGGCTTGTTTACCTAGGGCTGCACCAATGCTCTGGACTAGATGGAGACCCAGAGCTTTGTAGCAGCTCTCACCAGAGTTGGTAAGAATAGGAAACCTCCAAAGATAGCTCTTCTGAAACACCTATCTTTTCTGAAACAGAACTTTCAAAAGTCCCATGGTTTTACTGTTAAAATAAATCAAAGATCTAAATCAACTAAAAAATTTTGTGTTCATGGATTGGAAGACGATACTGTTAAGATTAATGACACAAAACTGATCTATAGATTCAATGCAATCCCTATCATAATCACAGCTGGTCTCTTCTTTATAGAAAACTGACAAGCTTGTCCTAAAATTCATGTGATATTGCACCAGACATGGAATAACCAAAACACTCTTGAAAAAGAACAAAGTTAGAAGAATTCCATATTTTGATTTCAAAACTTACTACAAAGCAACAGCAATTGAGACAATCTGGTATTGGCATAGGATAGATATATCAATGAAATACTATTGAGAGTGCAGAAGTATAATTATGTATCTACGGTCAACTGAGTTTTGACAAAACTGCCAACACCATTCAATGGGAATAGAATAGTCTCTTCAACAAATGGTGTTGGACAACTGGAGAGCCACAAGCAAAAGAACAAAATTATATTTGTAACTCACACCATTTAAAAAATTAACTCAAAATGGAGCAAAGACCTAACTATAAGAGTTAAAACTACAAAAACTCTTAGAAGAAAACAGAGGACTCTTTATGACCACGGATTTGATAATGGATGTGACACAAGTCTTAGATATGATATCAAAAGCATGAGCTGCACAAGAAAAAATGCATAAATTGGACTTCACCTCAACTAAAAACTTCCATGTTTTCAAAGACTCTATTAAGAAAGTGAGACAACAACCCACAGAATGAGAAAAACGATTTGCAAATCACTTACCTGATAAGGGACTTGTATCTAGACTATAAGAAGAACTCATACAAATCAATAATATAAAGACAAATCACTCAATTTAAAAATAGGAAAATGACCTGAATAGATGTTTTCTGAAAGAAGTTATACAAATTACTAATATGCATGCAAAAAGATGCTCAACATCATTAGTCATCAGGTAAATGCAAGCTGAAACTACAATGAGCTACCACTTCACACCCAGGAAGATGGCTGTAATAAGGAGGTCCTAATAACAAGCAATGGTAAGGATGTGGAGAAATTAGAACACTCACACATGACTGATGAGAACGTGAAATGGTGTCGCCACTTTGGAAAATAGTCCAACAGTTTCTCAAATGGTTAAATAAAGAGGTACCATATGTCCCAGTATTTCCAATCCTAGGTATAGACCCAGGATAAATGAAAAACATAAATGCGCACAAAAACTTGCACATGAAATATTTACAGTGGTAGTATTCATAATAGCTAAAAGGTGGAAGCCACTCGAATGTTCATTAAGAATTTTTTTTTTTTTTTTGAGACAGTATCTCACTCTGTTTCCCAGGCTGGAGTGCAGTGGCACAATCACAGCTCACTGCAGCCTTGACCT